CCGGAGCATGGCGAAGGCCAGGCACAGCCCGGCCACGGGGCAAAACGCCAGGAGCCTGGGGACGGGCAGGGAGCGGGCGCCGAGAGCGTGGTCGCCTCCCGGCGAGGGCAGGGGCTCCCCCTCGGCAGCGCGGACACGCGTGAGCTCGGGCGGGCAGCCCCGAGCCCCTGGGAGAAGAGCCCTCGTTCGGGAAAAAGGCTAAATGCCGGGTTTTGGGGGGTTGCTGCCCCCTTTGCAGCCTTTCGGAAAGCATCGCGCAAGCCTGCGCCTTGGGCGTCACAGCTGGTTCAGGCCCTCACTTGCGTTTGCAAAATCTTTCCGTGGTTTGAAGCGGGGGTGGGCTGGCCCCCGCAGCAGCGGGAGCCATGCGAGAGCGTCATCGGCGATCAATACACGTGCTGGTCTTTCAGGTTTCGACACAGCGCTGTTGCCTTGGGAAGGCCGCGGCCATAACCGAGCTGGCGTTTTCGTTTTAAACCCCGTTTGTCAGTGGCTTATGACTCACCCCTTCAGATTTTCTGGTAGCCTCGCTGGTAGCTGCCATACTTGCAGATAAGCTGGGTTCATAATAACATCAAAAATAGCTGCTGTTTTAAATATTTCAGACTTTTTAATCACTTCCGGCTAAAACAAAGTGTGCTGCTGACAGATTTTTAGAAAGGCTGTCTTCAGAGTACCCTTTAGCGACAAACCTTTCCTCCCCAGTGGTGGTATGGACCGCGGTGAACAAGCCGCACCTGTGTTGGCTGCGCTGCCTGTGTTGTTCGCCTTTAGTTCCCACTGGCCAAACCCAAATCTGCGTTCTAAGCTGTTGTTTTTAGCAGAAGTTTGTGCATGAGTAACGGAGCAGTAGGGACTGCAAGCAGCGGTGGCCTGATCCTGACCCCGATGACTTCTCTGGCAGAAAACTTAGCAGGATTTTGTCCAGATTCATCACTCGAGGGATCATGGTTTGTCCTGAAAACAAAACCTGACATGACTGGGCCCTCAGCAGGCATCGCTTAGCATTTAGTAACACCCGGGTGTTTATCTTGCCTTAATCATCAGGTCTGCTCCAGTAATGCAGCTGTGTCTCTTGGGTGCATGTGGTTTACACTCTTCTCCCTTGCTGGGAGGTATACTTGAGTGTGTGTGTTTTGTGGTGGAGTGTTTTTGGCTTGGAAGGTAGTTTTGAGATACGTTTGAGAAGCCATCAGATACTTGTCAAAACAATAGTGCCTGCATGTGACTTAGCATTCAGACTTCATGTAGCTGTTTGATTTGTTTGCATCTGCTGATGCAAACCATGATGCAACAATGTTTCTGGAGTGTGGAGATTTATTTAGTTGTTGTTTGATTATCTTGAATTTGTATCTGAGGATACTGTAAAGCTAATGCTTTCATTTTTGCATTGCTCTTTGCATTGCAGCAGTTTTTTGGGCTGCTGGAAGTGACAGCCTTGGCTCTATTTTCTTTACTCGCCCTCTGTCTAAAGCTTGATGCAGATTTGGTTGAGGAGTTGTAAGCAAGTCTACAAGATGTTGTTTTATTTTTCTTACCAGCAGATGTCCTTGCATTTTTCCTAATATGCAAACAGGGATCAGACTACACAGAGGATCAAACTCCAGGTACAGTTAATGCATAGCAGCCTGCCTTTTTAGTTTCTTGGATGTTCTGCTTTTACTAAAATGAAGTTGCTGAGTTGCTAATTGTGCTGTTTTGATTTCTGTGGATTTTGTTATTCCATATCCCCATGTGTGCGCTAGTCCTAGCAAATTTTGTTAAAGATAGTTGCAAAAATGTCAAAGGAATAATTTTTGAGACACCTGACTGCAATGTTCTGGCTCTGAGAATCACTGAGTTGGAATTCATATTCATGCCTTAATTGAAGTCAAATCTTTTGCTTTCCTTCCTCTCAAGAGGCCAACTTGCACCTAGGAAAACCTACTCCATCAAGACATTACAACCATATGAACTGCTAGTCTTTGAGGAGGATACCTTAATTGGTCTCTCCAGGTGAAGAGAGCCTTGACAGGGTGAAATAAGGCTTAATCAAAACAGTGACTGTGTTGAAGGGCCCTGGGGCCTGTGTATTGTATGGGTCTAATTTCAAAATGTTAAATCCATATTTATATTCCAGAAGGAAAACAATAGGAAAAGAAATCATAAGATCTGGCTTGTTTTCTACTACCCCTTTTTTTAGTGCTCTTACAGATTTGTTTTAATTATGATACATTGATTTTTAAAAATATATTTGTTTTTCATGTGTTTTTGTATGTGGGTAATTATTTAGCAACTCTTGTACGATGTGTGGGCAACCTAGATTAATGTAGTGTAATTTAAACTAAGTATTTCCATCAAACTTAAATGGTCCTTGGACTGATAAAAGATATTAGAAAGTTATTGTTACGCAAAAGATTCACATGTTAACTTTCATACCTTAATATAATAGTTGTAGGAGGTGTTAGCTGTTGAAATTAAGAAGATATATGAACTCCTCGCTACAATTGTCTTCATATTAGCTTTGTGTCTTGTCTCATGTATGTTGATTTTTTCCCTGTCTTTCAGTAGATAATAAGTTTGCCTTAAAACGCAGTTTAGGGGGGCACAGTATTTAAACAAATAGATTTGATTAAATAGGGAGGAAAAGAGGAGAGAATGCACAATATATGTTTTTGGCGATAGTAAAACCAAAACATTTTCATATGTGGTTCTTATTTTGCAAATAATCTAAACTTTAAAGGTCAAAAAGATTAATAATCTGACCTAAAATAAAGTGATTTTTTTCACTTTCTGTCTGCATTTCTGTTACATTTTACTTTTCTATTTTGCCTCTCCCTTATCCCGTGTATGTTCAGAACAACCTAATTTTGACTTTTGATTGAAGATCGAGTAATCCTTTACTCTGTAGCTCTACCTGCGTCTCCTTTTTCCTTGCTTCCAAAAGCCTTTTGGTTCTGTGATTCTTATCATAAGCACTGGATAATCCTATTGCTAAATGTTCTGAGTAGCATCAGTCCTGAAATCATCAGTTCTTACCAAGTACAGTTTTGTGGTGGAATGCTTTATCCTTTGTTTTCCGCCACTCCACTGAGACATTATAATGGTGACCTTCTTCTACCCACCAGCTGCATGCACCCTATGTTCTATGGTCTTGCGGATCAGCAAGGATCTGTAACCGCTGTATTGTTGGCTATTTTGTTGCAGTGTGATGAGGCCTGCTCCTGACAATTGACGTTACCAGTTTCCCTTCCTGAGGTACTATTTCTAATCACTTGGGTTAGTGATATAGCAAAAGCATCTTGGTCAGATGATGTGGTAGCAAAACACTGTATTGGCCCAAACACCCTGTTCTGCGTGTGGAAAACAAGCTGATATGACAGCATGCAAGTGGGAAAGCAGTGTGTGGTCTGAGACATTTAGAAACGCTGCTTGTCCCTGTGATTTTTTTGTAAGATTACCATGTGCTGCTACATCAAGTCACATCAGGGAGTTCTAGCATGCAGCACGATCCTATTGGAAATAATAGTTATATGATGATCAGGCTGTGGAACTGTAAATGCTAGAGTCAAAAACAGAAAAAAGACTCCTAGGTGATACTAGGTGATAGAAGCGTTAGTAGCAGTAGTAGGGCTCCTGGGATGGAGGATGTGGAGGACATCTGAATGTAGGTGAGATCCAGGTTTGTGACTGAATTTAATAAAAGATCGCTGGGTTGGAACATCTCAGGAGTGTCCCTTTCTCTGGAGCCTGTGTGTGTCTGGGGTCACAGAATCACAGAATGGTTTAGGTTGGAAGGGACCTCTGGAGATCATCTAGTCCAACCTCCCTGCTCAAGCAGGGTCACCTAGAGCATATTGCCCAGGATCACATCCAGACGGGTTTTGAATATCTCCAGGGAAGGAGACTCCACTACCTCTCTGGGCAACCTGTTC